GCTCGTCAAAAGCTTTGTCAGTCGTCGTTTTGTCGAGAAATCTCTCCTTTATCTTTTGGAGAAATTGTCTCAACGTCAGAGTCTTTGACCACTTCAAAGCCAGCGGCGTTGGCTTCAACCAACACCCATTCCTTAGCCACTCCTCCCAGACAAGACGTGGAGAAAGCAACCTGACTTTCGGGCTCAACGGGTGCAGTGCTACAATAAGTCTGTATTTCAGCGATCCACAATAACATATTTTCTTCCTTTTTGTTGTTGTAGGTAAACGACAATTTCATCTTAACCTTTTCTTTTTTTTTCGGATTTTCCGCTTCCTTAGCCGGTTCTTCTTTCTTGTCGACCGATGCTTCTTTCTTGGCCGGTTCTTCAGACTCCTTCTTTGAGGGTCCGGGTTTGTCCTCCTTTCGCATTGCATCTTTCATCAACTTGTCCTGGGGTGGTTTCCTATCTTTCCCCTTCTTCTCCTCCTCAATACTCACCTTATCCTTTCCTTTTGTCAATCTCAACATAGTTTCTAATGAGACAGTGTTGGAGTCTATCTTCCTTTCAAGGTGAATAAGATAAGCCATGATAGATTGCAATACAGTTGACAAATCCGTCTCAACTTCCCCGAAGTGAAACCGCTCTCTCATTTCTTCCAACATCCTCTCCTGCTGTTCTTTTTCTTCTTTCCTTCTCCGGTACTCCTCAATCTTCTTTCTCTCTTCTTCTAGAGATTGTTTTAATTGTCTGATGTTCTCCTCCATTATCTTTACAAATAATTCCTTTCTTTCCTTTCGTTCTTCTCCCTTATCTTTTATTTTCTGGTCTAGTTTCTCTAAGTTCTCGGCGACATAATGATCTAGAGCAATACGCCCTTGCCTTATGAGATCTTCGACCCTTTTGCCGGTTTCCATCATCTGAACAGCAGTTTCAGCGGCATCAAGTTCACCTTCTGCATCTTGCAGGTTGAACTGTCCGTGAACATGCTGTTCAGCGTTTGGACCAGCACCATGTATCTCACCAAGCAACTGACGAAGAAGGCCCTTCGGAGTTTGCCTTCTCGTGTCAATCTGACCACGCGTCCTAAGTTCCCCCTCTTCGGCATCAGCATAGACCATGAGAGGAATAGGGAAGAAGAGAAGTGGAATGAACCGCTTCAGGATGGAGGCACGCAGACATTTCCAGAGAGAGTTCATTTTGTCCGCGTATTTACTGCACAATAAATAAAATTAAAAGACGGAAATAAATTCCACAGTTCGCGCGTCTTCTACAGCAACTTGCAACAATAAATTATCAGAAGAAACAAATTTCCAAGTCTTTCCTGAGTTCTAACTTTGCTGTCTATTCTTTGTGATGACTCTCTACAACTACAGGTATCGCAGCCACGACCAATGTGATCAAGACAACAACACAAGAGTAAGTATGCACAGCATCCACAGACAAACAACAGGAGAGTAGAACCAACACATAACACAATCAATGGTTGGTTCTCTTCTCAATCATCTGCAACAGCAATACAACTCAAGTGCACATTCACACAGTCCTTACGCATGCCACGTGTCACCCCTGGCCTGCCAACACAGCAACTCAAAGAGTCTGCCACGTCAGCAAATCAAGGACCCGATAGGTTTACAAGGAGGGATGCCACGTCACAATGCAGGTTTGCCTTCCACCAATATACCAAGTCAGCACATCACTAGCAAGCAGTAACAGGTACGTGCCATGTCAGACCATGCCCTGCCTGCCACATAACAATGTGCCACATAAGCGGTACCAGCGCCACTTCAGCCTGTTGCCAACGCAGCTCTTCAATCTTCAGCGTAGCCTTGTCATCATCTTCAAGGGACGGCTGCTCGCAAGTGCACTATTACCATGTCTAGACTTGCGGTATGACCGCGCGCGTTAATAAACGCGTTTCATATTGCACATGCGGCACCTCCCACTTACCTGGGTGACATGTCAGCACCTGACAGTTGACAGCAGATTGCGATGAAGAGTAGCTCCGATACCGAATTGTAATGAACCCGGTCAGGCAGATACTGAGAAGTCGTCAAACATCCGTAGTCTCGTTATCTGCATCAAAGTCTTCAGGGGCAGCGCCACATCAGCATGCCACGTAGACCATAAGCAGCGCCATATATACCAGAGGCAGCGCCACATCAGCATGCCATGAAGACCAGAGGCAGCGCCACATATACCAGAGGCAGCGCCACATCAGCATGCCATGAAGACTAGAGGCAGCGCCACATATACCAGAGGCAGCGCCACATCAACATGCCACCTCAGCAAGTCTGGCGTACAATGTCGACAGGCTGCCTCCACCTCCTGTCGTTGTCCGCAGCACTGATGCACAGCCAACGTCTAGCCAGCGTCGCGCTAGCATAATGCCAGCGTCAAAGTCAAAGTCAAGCCAGCATTGAACCAGCATAGCAAGACTGAATGCTGGACTTGCTCGAGGCCAGCCTTATGTAGCAGTCGTCGAGGCTGTCTGGCCTCGGTGCCTTTCCTCCAGTCGTCCAGATTGACTCACATCTCAAGGCCCGGATTGTACAGTTGCAGAATTCTCCCTTGGACCTGATGCTGTCAGGGTACCTGCATACAAACAAATGTGTGTGCTTGACCTGCGGCCTGGGCTAGGTACCTTTGGACTTTGACTGTTGGGTGGACCGATAGTTGACCAAAGTCAACTGTCACACTCCCAGGCCCTGAAATTGCGAAGGGCCTTTTCTGCCCTTATTTGGCCTGGGCTGAGGGCGGCCAAGTAGGCCTTCTGATGGCCCTCAGTTCCACGAGACATATGGCATGAGTTATTGCACCTGTGTCGTTTCAGCCTAAAACAGGGCCCTCCAGGCCCCGAGTCTTTTCAGCCTGAAACGGAGGGCCATTTTCAGGCCCTCATAAGATCGACCTGCCCTGAAACTCAGGCACCAGACCAGGGTTTTAGCACAGGTCATTTTGGGCCTGTTTTTTCAAGACAACCTTTGTTTGAGCTTCAAAACCAGGGTCTGGCACGCTTTGACATTGGCAAGAGCAGCCTCCTGGACGGGCCAGCACAATATAAGACTGGCCCACCCTGCAGGCTTCCCAGGCACTTCACATGCAGGTCAGGAGGCAGGAGGTAGTCTTCAGGATTCAGCAGCAGCACTCTGGAAGAGCGCTGCAGTAGTAGTAGTAGCGTTAGCAGTAGTCTTCAGCGCTGGGTGTTAGTACTGGAGAGAGAGAGAGAGAGATTGAGCGGAGGCCAGGGAGACTTACCTGCAGCGCCATAGCTCCAGCTTCGTCTTCGAGGTACCTGCAGCACAGCGCCATCTTCACAGGTTAGAACCTGGCACAAGAGAGAGAGAGAGAGAGAGAGAGAGAGAGAGAGAGAGAGAGAGAGAGA